TCAGCCTTGCTCCCCAGCCATATGTTTGGCCAGCAGATTTGGACCAAAGTAAAGCCTGGCATGGTTAGACTCAGAGTGAGACCAGGCTCTTCTTGTTGCAGTAGAGGCCTGGCTGGCTTCTGCTGCCCAATGCAGGCCCAAGCCAAGCCAATATAAGCCTGACCTTTCCTCTGAGCTCTTTTGCAGTTTTCTGCCCAGAAGATCTGGGATTGGGACTAGGAATTTTGGGGCGCAGTACGCTGACAAAAGCCAAAGTTAACCCCTCAAAGCCACCATGTGGAAGTGGAGATCGGTACTCTACCACTTCTCCGGGAGCAACAGAGCCCCTTGCAATGCAGATGGACCCATACTCTCCAGCATCTCTCTGCAGTGTAGTGAACCCACGGGGAAGCTCATAGGACTCGCCCGCATAGGCGATGCATGCTTCCTGAAGCTGGGGGTGCATGGTGACTGCCCGTAGGTGGTGGTGATGGTATTGGTGGCGGGGGATGGCAGCAGTGAGTGGGGACTGCCCATGAGTGGCTGTGCTGACGTCGGCGGCAAGGGCAGGCCGAGTGGGGACCAACCGCATATGGCTGCGGTGGTGTTGGGGTGTTGGCAGCGATGGTGTCAGAGGCGGAGTGGGGGGTGGTGGCGGTGAGCAGGGACATCGGCGGCAAGAGCAGGTCAAATGGGGACTGTCTGCAGGTGGCTCCAGTGGTGCCGGGGTATCAGCGGTGTGTGGGGGGGGTCCCTCTGTGGCCAGTTGCTGACTGGGGAGTGGTTCCCCCATGGCCAGATGCCAAACCCAGAAGTGCCTGCAGCACTTCTCGTGCCAGGGGTGGGGGAGGCATCAGTGCTCTGCCTGCCTCCCCCCCACCGCCCGTTGCCTAAGCTGAAAGTGCTCACTCTCGGGGGGGGGGGCACCAGTGCTCTCAGGGACTGCATGTGCACCCCTGTGCACCCCCTGTGCGTTGCTCAGGCTCAGCAGTGTGGGTCCCCCTCTCCAGCCCATAGCTGCCCATAGGGGTGCAGGCCCCCAGAACTAGCTGTTGGGCAGCCCCAAATCCCAGACTGCCTGGGTATGGGTGAAGCCTCCCCCAAGAGTGTGCCACCTATCGACTTTGCTTTGTAGTAATAGTATTTTAAAATTATTTTTGTTTTGCTTTTATTCATTATAACAATTTTGGGGTTTTGTGTTTAGACTGCTTGCAAGGAAGGAGTTTTATTTTTATGGGACACCCCAGCAAACTTAGTGTTCCCAGATTTCTGGGTGGGGTTCAAGCCACTGGTATAATTTGTGGGGTACTCCAAAATATGAACCTGGCCCTTTTTGCTGCCAACCAGTGCCTGGCAGAAGGTTTACACTAACATATTTAATCATTGTTCCAGTCTCCAGTGAAATTGAGGCATGCCCTCCTCTCCTTCTCCAGCTCCCATAATCAGCCAGACAACAGAGAAGTTGGGCGCAAGGAAGAAAAAGAGGAACTGTGCATTTCTTGGAACAACTCATTAATTGCATGTGGTGTGAATAAATCTAAATTTGGCTGGGTGCCACAAAGTCGGGTCTTAGGGCAGATGGAATAGCAGAGTCAGGGACAGAAAGAGAGCAGGGAACTTTCCACACGCTATTCTGGACACTGAAATAGAGTTTATAGAGACTCATAATGGGGAGCACCTGCCCATGTCCAACTCCATTTACATCCCTGGCATTGCTGGAATGTGCAGAGTTATTCTGAGTTGCAATGAGCCATCGCTGGGGATCTAAAGCAAACACAAAGTCTGTCCCGTCCTCTGCCAGCTAGTCCGATCATTGCATCAAAGTAACTGCAGCCTCCTAAGAAGCTTATGCAACTGTGCTTGAGAATGAGAAGGTAGCAGGTGCTGAAATCTCAGGCAAAAATGAAATTGCTTTTTAAAAAGCAAGGAAATGGCTTCTTTCTTGTGACTAAGTGAGGTAGATATTGGTTATTTAAATGGTATATACCTTCACTTTCCGATTACAAGCAAAGTGACTCAGCTGCTCCCAAGCAAACACATTGGGGTATTAGGCCCAAACTGTTTTTAAGGGTCTTGAAAACCTCTTTACTTTGAAGCGCCAATTTTTCTCATGTGAGATCCCAATTCCACCCTTTTGCTCCACTCCAGCCACTAAGAGGTGCTAGATAGATGGTTTAAAAGTGGCACTGCAGTATGTACAAGCACTGTGGCAGAGGACTGAGGAGTGAAGTTAGTGCATTGCACTGAAACCCAATTCTGTGATCCACAATGGAACAAAACTCCCACGAAAGTCAACAGGAATTTTGCTCCGTTAAGGATCATAGCGTTTGAACCGATATGCCATCTCAGCAATATCCAACATATTCTTCAGATATCTGGCTTGGGTTATCCAGGGGGAAAATATTCCAAAAAAGAAAAAGTGTAACCCACCTCCTTTTAACTTCTCTGCCTTAATTCCTGTGATGTTGGCTGCGCACTGTGCTGGACAGTTGAATATGGACCTAACAGCTTAGCTTTGGCTCGAACTGGATCACACATCCTTCACCTTCATATAAGCAGGCTAAACTGAGAAAGAATGACCTTCAGTCATATGGTAATTGTACCATATGCACAGGAAAAGGACTTCAGCAGCATGCTCTTTAAAATCACAGCACACTTCTCATTCTGAGCTGGCTGAATAATTAGAGATTTTAATTGCAAAAGTGTTGTTGCTATTGTCACATATCACAGATTGGAATCAAACAGCCCCATCATCTACATGCAGTCCTCCTTCCTCACTATGGGGCTGATCCTGAGAGAGGGGGGACGGGAAGCTGTCACTGGGCCCAATCCTCAGCTGGTGTCAATCAGCAGAGCTTCACTGAGATTTATACTGGTGGACTGAGGATCTGCATTGCTCAGGATCAGGCTTTAGCTGTGCCGCATTGTGGTGAAGGGTTGCTATATGTTATAGCTGTTTATAGAAATGGCTGCCTTTCACAGGCAAGTGTGAAAAGCGATTCCCATTTCTATACAGTAATCCGTAAAGTTTCCAAAGAGCTTTCCAGTCTTTCAGGGTGAAAGGTGCCATATAAATGCAAGATGCCATTATTATTTATTGTTTCAACTTGACAGAAAGATGGAGGGTTTCATTTTGACTTTTATATTTCCATTCACTCTACGCTTCTCCTTTGTTTCATAACTTTCTGACACGCAGAGGTTTCCTTCGTGCTCCTTCAGAGGAAAGCAAAGAGAAAAGGTTGGAATTGAGAGCCAGAAAATGCTGGAATTGTTGCCACATCAAGCCAAGCATTTAGAAGAAAAAAAACAAAACAGCACAACATGAGATAATTTTAATTATTATTGCTTGTATTCTTGGATCACTATTGTCCTTGGAGTCCTGTATCCTGTATCTGACAGTGGTGGGTACTGGATGTTTTAAAGGAAGGAACAGGAAATCCTTTAGTGACCAATTATGAAACAACATGCCCACAAGGGAAACCTCTTTCACAAAACCTGTCAATTAATGGTTAGGTTTTGCTGTGAAGCACGGTGGCTTGTTTCACTCTGAGCGTTTGTTTCTGTGCAAAGTATTCCAGTAATAGACGTTCCTCGAACCCGAGTATCCAACTTTTCTTGAATCTTATTCAATAGTGTATTGTGGCAGGGAGTTCCACTGGATAAATATTCAACGTGTAAAAAGAATACATTCCTTTCCTGACTATTTCCCTTCCTAATATCCTGTTGAAATAACCTTTACTTGTTTACTCATTGGAGTATCCATGAACTTTGATAACATGGGGGGGGATTTCTTCTAAGACAATCTTCTTACCCAGACTGATTTATATCCTATGTAAACTAGGTCAATAACCCTCTACTAGTCAAGGGGGGAGGTATTTAAAAACAAGGATGGAACAGGAGAAGTGCAGTGTTGTGCCCTGCAGGGGACTGGAAGGCTATCCTCATGAAGCCAAATTCAGCCTTGCTGTAATTTCTTACCATACTACTCATTTCAGAGGCATTACACACACTTACTTAGTGTGGGGGAACAGGCTGGCTAAGTGAGACATGCCCCTCTAGTGAATGGCCCACTTAAGAGATAAAAGCCTATTACTGCTCCCATCTACTGAAGTGACTTCTTTAGCACACTTGGTGGAGACTGATTCTTAAATTCTCCTCTTTAATCTCCATTGACGCCTATGTCCCTGAATTATAAATGCATTTGTCCTGTACTGTTACATTTTTAACCTAAAGTACTTCTGATGTTATACAAATGATTATATTCATTTGAACACTGACGATAAGACAGAGTTAAGACAAATGTCCAACAGGCAAACCACAGTGCATTATAGTCTCTAATACTTATGACTCTAATACTTCCAGAAGACAATATGAATCCTTCACAGCTAAAAAGACTCATGGATATGGATTTTCCTCTGTTGAGTTTCTTCCTTGGAATGCATTAAATCATTAAAAAAAATTTTCATCTCAAATTTATTCAGTTATGCCATGTAGTTAGCCTAAATCTTTCCATGGCCATTGCCTCCCCCAATCTCGCTCTGGTTTCTTTTGCCCACATGAGAATCTCATGGGGTGAAAACTCAGCAGTAAGCAGGGGCGTGATCAGGTTTATTGTGACAAAAGGAAAAGTCTCCCAAAATAAAAAAAAACAGTCTGCAATTTCTGATACGTCTCATTTGTACGGATACTTTCCTTTTGCTCTCTTCACATTTGCAATATCCTAAGTCTTCTGGAATGCTCCCAAGATTTATTTTCCTTTGTAAATAATTATTTTGAATGTTATGTACAATATGCATCCTTACCTCCTCAGTGATTAGACCACTGGACTTGTAGTGCCATGCTGAACGGTTAGAGCACTGGAGTAGGAGACTGGAGACCCCCAGATTCCTCCTCAGTCATCCATTAAGCTATTATATGATTTGAGCAAATTATTCCCCCTAGCTTGTGCCTCAGCTTCCCTCCCTACCCTCCATTCATAATGTTTAAGGCATGTAAAATCAGTTTCCAGCTCAAATTCATGTGTGTGGCATATATTTAGTCTACAATGTCTAAGTCAATTATTGACCCATATACCTGTTTTTGCATTATACAGTATACGAGATGAGAGTCTACAGTCTTCAGTGAGTTTTTGATTGTAGAGTAAGTAGCCAAGCTTTTGGAAGCACATCCAAAAGGATCAGGAATCCCAAACCTCTTGAAATTCTGCCATTATGGATCTGGCAAAGTTGAAAGATGTACTATATCTTACAAGGAAATAACTAGCCGGCAACTGAAATGTGTGGGGCAGCAGCCAGGGCTCACATGTATTATATAGCCGTATTTCAAGAGGCCAATTCTTAGTAGAGCATGCACGTGTTGCAATATGTGTGTGCACATGTTATCCGTGTGCATATGCAGATGATGACTGCAGAGATATTTGCTGTCAAGAATGGGCAAAGATGCTTAAATAACCATTCACCATTGTTGTGTACTAATTCATTTGCTGTGTGTCACTGCACAAACCCACCCCAGGGAAAATATCTGGAGCCTCACAACTCACTGAGTTAGCATGTCCACTACTACACCCCTTTACAGGATATCACAACCCCTTTGCTTGCTTGCTGGCCAGCAAGTGAAAACATGATTTTTCTCTTCTGCCCAGTTCTGGTTGTCCCATAGTCCTGGGAAAAGAGAGACGGGAACAAATCTCAGAAGTCACGCTTCTGTTTGACCCCTTCTAAACGAGGGCTTGTGGGTATCCCCGCATCCCCCATGCACTTGTGTAAAATCAGCAGCACAGCAAATGGCAAAAAAAGGGTCACAGGGAGCCAGAGAGGAGATGCCAAGAAGAAAGTAAGAAAAGGAAAGAAAAGAGAAAATGACAGGGGAAAAAATGTATAAAGGGTCCAGCTGCTGTTATAAAGCTCCCCAGGGAAAGGTGCCATAGTGCTTTTAGGAAGAGCCATGCTACATACCAACCCCCCTGGCTCCTGATGCTGCTCCCTCTGCCGCTTGTGTCGGAGTTTGAGGGAGCTTGGGAAATCCGTACCGTCTCTCTAACACCGTCCAGGTGGGGTCTACATCCCTCTTCCCTGGCTCCACGCTCACTGCTAGAGATTCCGACAGTTACTAGATAAAGTTAAAGACTCATGTAGTGATCTTCACACTAATTGGACTGTAATGTATAGCCTCGGTCAAGCAAATCTCTCCCAGCACTCCTCTCCACAGACGGCAATCAAGCCATTTACAGAAGATGCATCGGCTGCTGGGACCCTGGAGTAACCTTAAGCTGCACTGGCCTTTTAGCAGAAAACACAATTAATTTTGATACTGAAGGGCAATTAGGACTCGGGTTAAAATAAAAAATCTTCTGAACAGAGAATGTCAAAGACTGGGAAGGAAACTATTTCCCTCGTATGCAGTGTGGTGAAGGTCTGTATGCATAGCAACTGTCAGCTCATGTTCATCCAGATCACTTTATACAGACCCTTCTCATTTGAACAAATGCAAATTCAGATTAACAAGTCCAGCACCGCAAACACCTCTAAGACTGAGTGCCATTTCCCTTAACTCTTTACTGCTGGAAGAAACATCCATTTTAATGACTATGTTTGCTGGGAAGACTGGCTTTAAATCCCAGAATTTAAAGAAATGACTGAGTGTATTTGCTCTATTTTGCTTCATTTTCAAAAGAAAATGTTCTTTCCACTGACACTATATATATCATGTCTTAATGTTATCATTTCAGTCATTTTATGCACTCCTTCTTTGAAACACGTTGGGTTTTTTTTCCCTCTAAAACATATCTGCATACACCCACGCACTGACACACATGCAAGACTTGGCTAAAAGTTTGACCTTCCATCTGTACACTGCCTATGAAATGGATGTAATTCTCCAGAGATATACTTTTTATATATAAAACAAATGTGCCAGTTATCTTTTCTCCCCATAAAATAGATAAATCAATACATAAGTTAATGCTAATCATAGCTATCAGCCCAGCTCTAAAAGAACAAGGACAGCCATGTGACACGGCATGGAAAGCAAAGCATATCCTCCTTGAAAAAAAACCCCAAAAAACCAAACCAGCAGCAGTGGGTAAAAGTAAGCAGTTGTCAGCTAGAATCATAGAAAATTAGGGTTGGAAGAGACCCATTTAATCCAACCCCCTGCTCAAAGCAAGACCATCCTCAACTGGATCATCCCATCTGAGGCTTTTGTTTAGCCTGGTCTTAAAAACCTCCGAGGATGGAGATGCTACCACCTCTCTGGGTAACCTGTTCCCACAATTCAATACTGTGAAGATGATGCTATTTAATGCTGAGGAATAATGGGTGAAAGCTAAATTCAATTCAGACTGATATCAAGACTTCCATTGACTTCAGTGGGTGCAGAATGTCACCTATTACTTTTGAGTGTCCTATGTAGAGAAGAAATACTGTGCATGCACACAGCAAACAACAATCGTATTCTGGGTGGAACTATGCACCGGCTTGTGCCAAAAAATAATGGCCAGCTTTGGCGCAGAAAAACAACAGTTGTCCACTAGCTCTGTCAAAACATTAGAGAGAAGACACAGTGCAGGCACTTTTGGAAATAAACATACAGGGAAGTATTTAGAGTGTGGCCTTTGGTTTAAAAGATTCATACAGTTTTGCCCCAGATTCAAAACTTACCTTTGGCAGCAGCCCCCTGTGATGGTCCCAGCTCTTAGCAAGAAGAGACCATGTCTGCAGACATAGAGAAGTAATCTTAATGCATGTGACTTCAGGGCAGCTTGGGTAGCCTGCATCTGCCTGCCATCAATTCTACTGCCTCTACTTGAGATACTGCCATGGTTGTCAAAAGATTCAGCTGAACAACATTTCCATTGCTATTAAAGAGAAGGGGTTGCATCACATTGTTCTCCCTGAGGGGCCTACGCCTTTGAAAGTCACTTGCTACACTGGTCTGTAGCCGCTTGACCCTTCTACAGGGCCCATATTTCCTCCAAGGCTTCCCAAAAGATGGAAGATGCCTGCGGCAAAGGGTTTTGGTCGTGGGTTTTTTTGGTAAGATGCATTACATTTTTTATTCTATTCACATTGCCATTAGTGGGTAATTGAGAAAGTGTATTTGGGTACAAGCTGCCATTTTAAGTTTATCCAAGCACCTGGAGCTTGTGTTAGATTTTTTTTAATGCTGTTAGAACAAATCTTGATCTATAAGTAAATAATAAATACTAGGAGAAACAGTTCCACCTGTACGGCCTCATATTGGGTAAGAGCAGGGGAGAGAGGAGAAAAGGGGACCTTTACACAGATGGAAAATCAAGAAGTTATTTCCCTTGTTACTGCTAAAAAGACTCATTTTTCTTTGTCTTCCCAGGTTCTCTTTTCTATTTGCAGAGCTCTCTACACTGCAGTAACCGTTTTCTTGTCTGAGGCGTATACAGCAGTCCCACAAGTTGTACTTGGGAAACCACTAACTGATGTTAGATTTACACAGTAGGTAGTTTTTATATATGTTTTTCTTAAAAGCAACATCCTAGGGGAATCCCTTGGAGGCATACACAGCATAAGAAGCACTAGCAACCGATCAAGCATGTTAGAGGTTCCCAGGGTTAAATCTATTGTTTTCAGGGATTGATTCAATTTCTCTTTTGTCAACCAGTTTAAGTGTAGACTTTTATAAGTTCCAAGGTTCCTTTCACATCAGCTGTAAGGGAGGGAGGAGCAGCCTCGGGCAGAGGAACTTGAGACCTTTAAGTATAAACACCAAAATTATGTGTGTTGGTGTGCTGCCTCTACCCTGGGCTGTGGACTAACTCCACTAAGTGAGTCCACACCTTCTTTTTAGTTTTGCATTCCCTCAAGATAAGTGGAGATGATGTAGCACATTGAATCACAATGCTTATGGGCTGGAAGACTTGGCTCAGATATAGTAGTAGCTCGAGGTAAGTGGAGACGACCTAGCACATTGAATCACCATGCTTATGGGCTGGAAGACTTGGCTCAGATATAGTAGTGGCTCATTCAAACCTTGAATCCACCATCACACTCATACACAAGGTGACATTCACAAATGATATAGCAAGCTTTTTCCCTTTATTTTGTATGCTGTCTTTCCTAGGCTGGCCCTATAAACTGATAAAAATCAATCCCCGTTCACCTGACTCAAATGAACAAGTAAGACTACTTGCGCGAGAAAAGGGATCATGCTTCATCTCTGACTAAACACTTGGAAGGATCTAGCAGAGATTAAATTCAAGATGTGAAAAGCACACAGATAGCTAGAACCTGGAAGTACTGGCAAAGTAAGAGATGCACAAAGCATAGCTTTTCCCCTAGGCATTTCTTCATTACTATTTTGGGGAGGGACCAGGAATTGCAAACTGAGGATTTGCCAGACTAGATTAGAGCAGTTCAGTGTCCTGTCTGACCACGTCCACTGCCAGATACTAGTATGGAAAGAAGAATCCCTTTGGTAGGCACTGAGGAGATTACCTGGTGCCAGGGATTGTTTCTCTCCAGCCTCCAATACTTAAAAGGTGTTTTATGCCCTGAAGCATGTGGTTTAATAAACCTTCCTTTTTTCTTTAGTGGATCCTTCAAAACTTCATACTGCCCTGACAACTCTGCATGCTTTGGTCATATGCCCCAAAACTTCATACTCACCAAGCCCTTTACTCCAAACTTCCTACTGCCTCATTCCACAGGAAACTCAACATGCCCCCAAATTTCTGAAGTTCAAAATAAATCAGTTGGCCTTGAAAAACAACCACCACAACAGCAGCAGCTGCTAAGAAAAAGGAAGAAATCTTCACACCAAAGAAGTCAGACAAAGTCCCCTTTTTTCCCCCTGACAATTTTCAGAATTCAAATTTTCCAACCAACTCTGTTGATAAACAGTACTTTGTACTTTTATCCAACTTTCCACCCAAGGAAGTAAAACACCTTAGAACACTATTTAATTAACCTTTACAGCCCCCTTGTGTGCAGAGTATTATTGTCTCCATTTTACAAATGGGAGGACTAAAGCAGAGGGAATTTAAGTGACTTCCCTAAAGTAACACTACACAGCAGGTCTGTGGCAGATTGAGGAATAGAACCAGATCTCCTTAGTCCCAGGCCTTGGCCTGAAATAGTATAAACCTCCATCCTTTTCAAAGGGTGAAGAGTCAGGTCATTTTTACTATTACTATTATTTTACTTAAACTGATGGTATGCGGCCTACACTACTAAGCACATCTAAAAAAATCCTATGTAATTGGAGCTTGTGTAGGAGTGTACAAGAGGGCTGAAAAATCAGCTCTTTCATTTTGTTTAAGGGCTGTACACAAATGTCTCTGGTGGAAAATAAGGAGTCTTTAAGAATGATGTGTGACTTCTAGTGATGGAGCCTGGATTAGCGAGGGTATTTATTTTTCCCTTCATTAAGAAACAACTTATCATTCCAGTAAAGGAGCTGTTAATGAGTTTGTTCACACTAGCTGAGAAATGACTGCAGGATACTCCTCAGAGAACTTACTCTGAATGCATACATAAACCAGAGTTGGAGCACTAGGTATACAGAACAACCTGCAGAGAAAAGGGATTTTTCTTCCTCTGCCAGTTCAGCATTAGTTCAACAGGTTCTGGAAGGAATATGCAGATTTAGAGCATGCAGGGTATAATGTGCACTTTGGAACCATTACCTGACTTTTGTTAAAGGGATATATGTCAGCATAAAACTCCTCTATTTAGGCGTCTGATGGGAAGCGAAGGAAGAGGAAGTACTCTGTCTGCACTCCACCCGCCGATCCAAGACCCACCCATTCTCCAAGAATAGCTGTTTGCGTCTGCTAAAATGATCAGAAGCATAGGTTGGCATTTACAAAGGAGCCTAAGGGAATTAGACACCCATTCTCTCACTGAATTTCTGGCCTTTGCACCCCCCCCCCCC